CCACTCCATGTAAACAGGGTCTTAGTTAAACGTTTTAAGGAGAAAATGTCGTACGTTTTCTTGTTCACTCTTTTTTTCACTCTCGCTCACTTTCACCTTGCATTGGTGGCCGCTAGCATCTCTCATTTTGTCACCGCCGCTAAAAAATTTTCATGTTGTTCTTCCAACAAAAAAATGTCTCCTGTGTTTTCCCGGTCTAGATCTCTGTCGCCCTATTTCTCGTTGTGCTTTGCTGGCCTGCCGCCTACTTTCTCTTGCTCTATATTTCAAATTTGTGGACATGACAATTAATCTAAGCTTAATACTTTAGAAAACACGGATACAGAGACAATTTCCGCTTTTCGTTTTCGTCTTCATTGACTCCTTAGTTGTCTCTGCTTCACTAGACGCGGGTAGCTATTCGACTTCCCGTCAAAACAACCTCGAGTTGCATTTGGGTTGCCATATTTGTTGATTGAGTTATTTTACATTGGTATGCCTGTGGTGCGGACGGTCGGTCGGTCGGTCGGTGTACGGTCACGTGTTTACCAAATTTTCTCGGATGGCTAGTTTACCACATTTTCTTACCCGTGGTGCTGCGCTGCGCGCGCTTCGTGCGCGAGAGCCCCGCTATTGCAACTTCACTAAAATAAACTTGTATTGAAATAACTTTGTACCGAAAAAAACGGTAACCCTTGTAAGTACCTGTTGTCTTGCAAACTCTTAATGAAAATCACACACAATCCAGCCACTTATTTCGGTGTCCTTCGGAAAAGCCCTGCAAAGAAGAGAAACGCTTCCCCAATAAAATAGGCCATTTCCGAGTTCCAAAAAAATCTCACTTTCAGAACGAGGCTAAGTGCGAAACCTTTGTTGTGAAAATGAGTTTTATTCCCGTTCGGCGGAAGAGGGATATTAGGATTGCTCCGCCCTGACTCCGTGTCTTCTTGATGAAACAGCGCCGTGAACGCAAGTGTTTCTGTTAAAGAAAGACTTATCCTTCCTTTTTTTACAAATGAATTTTCTGGACCCAGATCTAGAATTATGACTTCTAGTTGTAGGAATTAAAAAAATATACCATTCAGTGGTAAAGAAAACAGTGCGATATTTTCAAACAACGTCTTGTATCCAGACTGCTTTTATCCCCAAACATACAAGGCACTTTTTTAGCCCCTTATCGAGCAATACGTATAGCTAGCCCTTCAATTTATTATATACGTACTGAGAAATACTCACCAATAAGATATGTCTTAAATAGAGGATATTACATGGCAGCCCATTCCGTTGTCATTTCGCGCAGTGTGTAGCGGCAAATTTTTGCATTTTTATAATTGGAAAGATTTGAAATAAAAAGTCCGCCAAAATGAAAACTGTCTCAGTATGTTTTTTTCTGAATACAATAGCAGATGGAAAGTGCGGGCGTATGGTATTTAGGGACCGGTCATTATTTGTCGCCGGGGGTGGAGGGGGCGGAGGAATTTAGGGGGATCTCGCAAGAGATTTCAAAGAGAGCAGAGAGGGGATCAGCCCTAATTGACAGGCACTAAGGGGGGGACCAGAAAAAAAAAAAAAAGGAGAAACTTTTTTGAAGAGGTGGGATCAGTTACCCTTTTGATGATCTTGTTCAGACACGAACTAATATAATGAAATAGTTAGTGGTTGTGCTTGTGTATTAAACGTGATGCTAAAAAATGTTTACGTTCTAATTTAAATGTCCACAAAGTTCCATGTTTTAAATTCTTTATAGTCATTGAAAGGTATCCCCGTAATAAGAACGTTCGATAAACGTGGCGGTGCACTGTCATTAAAAACAACAAAAACAGAAGTAAGTAATGTATACATGGTATATCAGCAAGTGATTAGTTCGGTGTCACTGCTTTGTCCCTCCGCGCTTCTTTGGTAGCCTCTTGGACGCCTTCCTTTACCGACTCTTGAACACCCTCTTCTGAGTCTTGGATTTCCTCCTCTGCTAACTCTTGGACATCCTCCTCGTCCGATTTAACAGTAGAGTCCTTGTTCGAGCTTGAATCTTCAGTGCTTTTTTCGTTTAAACTGGCTATTACTACCTGCAAGGTACGGGTACTGTTTTTTTTTATTAAAAACGCATTTTTTCCTAGCAGAGGGTCGAGATGAAGACGACTTACCAATTTCCCGGTTAACTCAGCATTTATAGTTGCGATGCTTGTGTTGTTAGTTTTGATTGCATCTGAACACGCTCTCCAGATACTTCTCTTTTGAGGTGAGTTTTTCGAGAAGCAAGAATGCCCTTCTGTTGTAAACACTTCTCCTTTAATTTTTTCACCTTACTTTTGTTCTCTTTTTTCTGCGCGATTGTCGATCTTTCCCAATGCGGGATGGAAACTTCCTTTTCTTGTTTATTAGGGTTGTTGCCAGCTTATCGGAGGCTTCTTAAAGTTTTTCGTGTAGCACCTTTACTCGTTCTTGAGCTTCCTGAAAATATTTCAGCTCGTCGCTTACAAAGCGTTTTGGAGTATGGCCTTCTCTGTATACGGACTTTTTGCTTGCTGTCGATAAATGATAAAAAATCTGCTGAGGATTTCAAGGTGTCATTTATAGTGGTCAAGCAGGACTCACACTTCGAAAAGTTAAAGTTAAAAGAACTCGACTTCTACCTGCTGAGAGAACACTGACTGGTCGGAAGCTTGACAAAGTATGACATCGAATAGCTTTAAAAAGCTATTCGATGTCATTATTACCGACACGTCAAAGAGTCTGTGAACACAGACGAATCGCGTGATGCCAAAGCTGAAAGTGACAGGGAATCAGGGATGAAGAATGTGAGGAAGAATTCGACAGTGAAGAGGACGAGAGCGACAATGACTTTTTTTTCAACGATTTTGCGGGACGAGAAGAGTAACCCTTCACAGACAGTTCACTTCATAATAGATGATCAAATATGTGAGGTTGCTGTTCAAGGTTCATGAGACGTAAGTGTTAATATAGATGTCACTTCCTTGCATATAGTAACCCTGTCCTTTTATGGTCGGCCATTTGTTTCAAAATTATGACAGATATACGTGCATGAAAATCACGAAAAGTGGAGGAGCAAGGAAAGAGAGGCAGGTGGAAGGCTATTAAAGTGTCAGAATACAAAACAAAAAACATGGAATCTATAGAGTGAATGGAGGGAAAGAATACAAAGCTTCGAGACTAGGAGGCTTAGAACGTGTTCGTGGAGGAGAAAAGGTGATAATTCGCGCGAGAGAGAGAAAAGAAGAGAAACTGATCTGTTCAAGCAGACTCTAAAGGTCATGTTTCACATTATCACACGACCTTATGAGTCGTTTTTGGCCGGTCAGACGCTCATTTCTAACTGAATCGATCGTTGTTCGGTCAGCATCCGTGAATTAACGTACACAGTCTCTCAAAAGACAATCCACCGCCAATGTGGGGGAATCAAAACCACACTGTATACTTTAAGGGGGGAATCTCGTAAGTGCTCCGTTGTCGCAACAAAAATCAGTGGTTCATACAGGGCTCCTTATCTTCTTGGCTCATCCCATATTGAATAAACCTTTTTACCTTGTATGTCTTGTCAGTTTCCAATTCGAGACCACGTGCATGATTTCTCCAGGGAATTTGCCTTTTTTCTTTTCATTAATTATGCATACTTAGGCACGTGGGTGCACTTGCATAAGACGAAATTTGAAAAAAAAAACAGTTCTCTGAGGTACCATCACGTGGTCTGAAATGAGAAAACAAGTCTTACAAGCTAAAAACGTCTGTCAACTGACCTGGATGACTCGTCTTGGGGGGACTTGTGGTATAATTGGAAGCTGACTGGTAAACTAACGTGTCTCGTGCTATGCCAAACGGTCTGATATGCCTGAGTGGAAATATGTGTGTTGTCTGGCAGTCTAAGGCCCAGGAGGGGTATTTGCCTATTGGGTTGCATAGGTATTTGCCGAGCAATAGGGTATGGTTTTTGAGGCCCTTGATCCTTAAATATGGTATCATTTCTGCGTTCCTGGTGTGATCCTCAAACAGGGCACCTAAATTATGTGAATTAAGATTTTAAAAAAAAGTGTCTGAGTAAATGCCAAACTAAACTGGAAACAAATCATCTGTTAAAAATGAACTATTTCTTAGGGGATCAGGAAAGAGATTTAATAAAAGTTTGTGTGTTACTACATGTCAAGGGGAAGTTTCACGGTTCAGCGCATGCTCATTAATCAAAATGCTTTTTTTAATGCCGGGACAGACTGTATCGTCTATGCAAGCGATATGATTATGTCAGTGTTATCAAAGAACCAATCGGCACACTCCTCTTCTGATCTGGCAGTCACTTGATCAACTTATGTGCAAATAGCTGTAAGTTCATCAACTATAGAATAGAACCTTCGGGTCGACTATAAATTCAACGTTGGTAGTGTTGGCATAATCCACTTCAGATTACTTTGAAATACACTCTGAGGTCGCTGAGATACATGTGAGAGGGATTATTAACCAACAGAATTAGTAATAAATTGGAAAAAAAGTAATTTAATTAATGAGCATGCACTGAACCGTTAAATATCATTCGCTTATCCCTACTGCATTCGCCGTAGGGACCGTTCATTTTTTTACGAGGTAGGGGGTGCTGATGGGATTGGGGGGTGGGGGCACGCCAAAAAAAAAACGGCTTAAAATGGGGGCCATCCCAAAAAAAAAAAAAAAAAAAACGGGGGGGGGGGTCACGCGAAATATTTTAGTTCATGTAGAGTTGACATGATGTTTTATTATTGAATAAAACTACATACACAGAAACAAGCAAAAGGTCAAAAGGTATATAAACGTATCAAAAACTTTTGTTCTGCGTCTACATGACAGCGTGCAGTTCCACGACAACAATTTTCAAAGCTAGGAAACTATCATTAAAAGATTCTTTACCAGGGTAGTGTTGTGCAACGTCTCTCTGCTCATGTTCCTCTTCGTCATCATTGCCAAGCTCTTCCTCATCGCTCGTGCTGCTGCTAGAGTCGCTTTCGTCGTTTTCAGTCATAGCATACTATGGCAGGTAGTACCACTACCTACCATACAACGAAACTCCAAGGGGAGGCCGTGATCCTGACGATTGGCAGCCTAGAGTTCAGTTAAAGAAGGAGCATAACAGTGGTAGGTTGCTTATGTCAGATCCAGAAAGTGTGGGTGCATTTTCCAACAAATTTATCGTGAAGGCAAAGTTTGTAGTGGATTACCTTCAGCACCCTGAGGTGATGGAGTTCAAAAAGAAGAAGAGAGCAGAGGAGCGTGCGAGGGAGAGCCAGAAAACCAAGGAAAAAGTCTATGCTGATTGTGCTTGGAACGATCTGCGTGAAGATTCGACCAAACTGAAACAGCTTCGAGTGCCAGAGCTTAACAACTACCTCAAGCACCATGGACTACACCAAAACATCAAAAGCCCTAAGAACGACAAGGCGAAGGTAATCGCAAGGCATTGGCTTCTCCAAATGAATCCTGAAGGCCCTGATCCATTAATGCTGCAAACACGACTGAGAGAAAGAGATGGAGCTGATAAAGAATCCTTACAAGACAGTGACAGCTATGAAGATGAGCACAGCAGAAGTGAAAGGACTGATAATGACAAGAACGACAATGATTCCATCAACTCTGGGAGTGAAGATGTCATCCTTGCCTTTATCTATGACGAGGAAGAAGTTGAGAGGCCAGCAGTGACACGCTCTGGAAGATCCACAAACCGAAGATCGGAAATTGACTTTTCTTTCTTTCGATTCTCTATATTTTCTTATGTTTGAAAAATAGTGAAGAAGTGCCTTAGCAAATGGACAGAATTTATTTTTTGAATTAACAGAAGTGGCTGCTACATCTGTAGAATGAGTTGTCAACAGCTTTACATTGAACAGAAAATACAAATCATATTGTACACTACAAAATATATGCATGTCAGGTTTAATTATGAAAATGTGTCTTTTGAAAGGGGGGGGTCACCCTAAAAAAATAGCCGTCTGCGGGGGGGATGAGAAAAAATGAGGACTGAGTGAGGGGGGCATGGTAATTCGTAATGGGAGTTCAACAAATTCCACCAGCCCCCTACCTCGTAAAAAATTAACGGTCCCTTATACTAGAAGACGTCTTACACGTCCAGACGCATTAAACGTCTGACTGTTAAGTGCGTCCCGTTTTTATATTAGACGTCTTAAACGTCTGAGCCAACTAATTCATCTGTTAAGTGCGTCGATCGGAAGCACTTAACTTCAGACGTTTTAGTCGTCTGACGTTTAATGCGTCTGCCTTATTTCCCGTATTTATACTAGACGACTAAGACGTCTTAGACGTCCTCTAGTACAAATACGGCCATTAGGGTCATCGGATTTCCTCCCCTGGGTCTTAAGGAAACAGGAAAAATCAGGTCAAATCAGGACCTCCCTGTTCTGGGTAAAGTCAAAGAAAAGAACCCGGTGAGTGTTTATCATGTATTTGTTTGAAAGTCAATTGCAATTGTGACAAAGTGCCAAAAAAGACATCACATTTGACCACCCCAAGAGGTCACTTGTAATGTAGCGGGCACTTCTTCAGTCCACTACCAAAAAATCTAATTTTAAAACGTTGATGAAAAAAAAAAAACCTTAGCCTATATAGTCTACAATGAAACTGAAAAATGTTGTGTCACCACATTTCCCGGTAAACTAAAAGTACAGTCAAAGTTTGCTAAACTGAAACAGACGGAAACTTTTCCACATACTTATGGGTTATACTTAATCTTTCGATGGCGTTGCGTGAAATCATCTGTGAAATTGGCTACAGTGTCTTCTACACTCCAGTGAACTATCCTTTATCATATTAAGTTTTTACATGCATTCGACCGGAAACATGAAACTGTGTGTGTTTGGCCATGGCAAACCTAATTATTCGTTAGAAAGAAACTCGCGGATGGCATGTTGATCATATCCAGGTTCTGATTGGTCACTAAGATTTCTTAGTGTCCTTGGAGGGTGTCAATAACGTTATGTGCTGGCATGGGAACAACCTAAATTTGCATAAATATATGCAAAACCTCTGAGTTAGAATTGTTATTTATATATCGCGTCACCAGGGAGTGCTGGTGAAAAGAGACATCGCTGAATCGCTTCCCTTTACCTTGCCGATGACACCCACATTACTTATGCTGGCGTTGATGTGAATTCAATACAGTTAACTCTGAGTCACGATTTAGATAACCTAAACAAATGGCTTATTTCCAATAAACTTACTTTGAACACTTCTAAAACTGAATTCATGCTAATTGGCTCCAGACAAAAATTGAGTACTTTGTCGAACCCACTTGAGCTCTCGATTAATAATGTTCCGATAGAACACGTTTCCTCTGTCAAATCGCTTGGAATATTTATTGATGAAAATCTACGGTGGCAAACACACATTGATAAATTATCTAAAAAGGTCGCTTCCGGAATTGGAGCAATAAAAAGAATTAGACCTTTTGTCCCTCCACCTACCCTTCACTATATATACAACTCACTAATTCAATCTCATTTCGATTATTGCAATCTTGTCTGGGGTAATTGTGGTAAAACATTATTTGACAGGCTACAGAAGCTTCAGAACCGTGCCGCTCGCGTTTTAACCTTCTCTAGCTATGATGCTGATGCTAACCGTTTGATTAGACAACTCGATTGGAAAGACTTGAGCACTCAATTTCAAATACAGAAATCCATAATGGTATACAGGTCTTTAAATGGCCTTGTTCCTGAATATTTATCATCTAAGTTTGTTAAACGAAATGAAACGCGTTACTCCCTGAGGGACTCTGTTAACAAACTATTTGTCCCATTTCCGCGAACTAATTTCATGAAAAACAGCTTTACTTATAGCGGAGCAGTTCTCTGGAACAGCCTACCCTGTCATGTGAGAGAAGCCGAATCTCTTAGTCAATTTAAAAGATTAGTTAATGTTCATTTTTAATGTTATACACGGCATTCATGAAAAACAGGTTTTAGTTAGATTAGTTGTAGTCAGGTTTTGAATTTTGTTTAGGATAGTTAGGTTATTTTTAATTTTTTAAATTCCTGATGGATTTTACCGTGTTTAAATAAAGATTGACTTGACTTGACTTGCATCAACTAAGGTATGTAGGACAAACGATTTCTCCTCATCATGTCTGCTGTCGAATACAACAGTTTACTCTTCGAAATAAGCCAGAGGCTAGACGACCTGAATTTAGGCAAGAAGTTATTAGTTTTGTGCAGACAAAAGGTGGCGCCCCGCAACGAAGAAAATATGCTGCAGGATGTCCATGTCTTCTCGTTGTTTGAAGAATTGGAGCAGAATGGCTTTCTTGGCCCTGACAAGTTGACAACTTTGAAAGATCTGTTAAGGGCCTTGAAAGAATGGTCTCTTTTCGGACATGTTAAGACATTTGAGATTAAACGAAAAGAATATAACAGCTTGCTGGAGAGAATCATTCTTGATCTCGACCAACGCGATTGTCTCGAACAACTTGTCGCCATTTGCCGTGATAGGATACCGGAAGAGAGACATGGCAGCATACAAGATGTTAGATCACTTTTCAAGGAACTAGAAATCAATGACTCTTTAGGGATTGACCAGCTGGAGGTCCTGAAGGAGATTTTGACTCAAAAGGTAAAAACCGATCTACTTCAGGAGGTGGTGGAGCTTGAAGAAAGAAGAAATCAAGAGGATGAATTTGAATGGCGAAAAGGTACTATACAGATTTCCTCTCTAAGACCCTTTCATCTAGTGGGTCTTTCCCTATGGCCCTTTATAATGATTTTTGGTCGATTGTAATATATATATATATGTTTTGCTTTTCCTTTCTATACCTTTTCTAGGGCCATTCTCGTTCTCAAATGAATGTAAACTGACTGAATAATCACGGTTGTTTCATTTCAGCACAAGCAGCTGCGATTGCGTTGTCGGCTAGCAGAAATTTACCGGGAGGTAAGTTTTGACACCTAACGGGGCTAAGCTACTTCCCATTAGAAACAGCATGGATCTGTTAACTCTAAATTTGTGAAGTCAAGATAAAAATAACTCTAAAAATTAATATAAAGGAAACATATTAGCCCATGGACGTATAACGAGTCAATCGAGTCACGCAGCATTGACTAAGTATTATAATTATGGTTTTTGTTTTACAAAGGAGACGCCGCGCAAAGAAAATCTTGATATAAAATTTTAATTCGCGATGTCTTTTCTCATGTTATCATACTCTCTGGAGGACCCTGTTTCCTCAAGTGAAAGAGGGCTAGACTCATTCATACTTGGTCCCTTAGATCGCAGACAATTGCGAAGTGTAATGCAAGAGTTCTTTTCTTTTCATTAAATTTTAATAATGGAACGTGATTAGAAGTAGGTATATATTTATGTGTCACTGATCATTATTAGCAGAGCTCTCGAGCGCTAAGCGCGCGCAGCGGAGCACCATGCATAAGAAAACGTGGAAAACTACCCATCCGAGAAAATTTGGTAATCACGTGACCGTACACCGACCGACTGCCCGACCGTCGGCAGCACAGGCATACCAATGTAAAATAACTCAATCAACAGGTATGGCAACCCAAATGCTACTCGAGGTTATTTTGACAGGAAATCGCACAGCCACCCGCGTCTTGTAAAGCAGAAATAACTAAAGAGTCAATGAAAAGAAAAATGGAAAGCGGAAATTGTATCTGTATCCGTGTTTTCTAAAGTATTAAGCTTAGATTAATTGTCATGTCCACAAATTTGGAATATAGAGCAAGAGAAACACAGAGAAAAAGAGAAAGTAGGCGGCAGACCAGCGAAGCTCAACGAGGAAAAGGGCGACAGAGATTTAGAACGAGAGATAAAAAACAAAGGAGACATTTTTTTTTGTTGGAAGAACAACATGAAAATTTTGTAACGGCGGTGACAAAATGAGAAATGCTAGCGGCCACTAATGCAAGGTGAAAATGAGCGGCAGTGAAAAAAAACGTGTAACTAAGGGCCTGTTTACATGGAGTGGGGGACCCCGGTCTAGTGGGGTTGGTTTCTTTTGTTTTCACGCTCTGGGGGACACAAAACAAAAGAAACTTACCCCACTAGACCGGGGTCCCCCACTCCATGTAAACATGGTCTAAGGGCCTGTTTACATGGAGGTGGGGGACCCCAGGTAGGTGAGGTAACCCGCTTAGGTGAGGTAAAAAAATAACCCGCCTTTACATGCAATCTTACAACCCCGCCTTCCCGGGGTGCACTTTCTCAAGATTATTGAATGGTCGCTAAGCACGTAAACAAGAAAAATGCTGGCAAACCACGAGTTTTGGCGATTAATGCACTTTTTCACTCACTTGTTGCTCTTGCTGCAACCCGTCAGTGCAATAGCTTTCTATTGTTAACTTTAATCATAATGCAAAGACACCACGAAAGTGAATTTTGCGCGAATTTGATGTATCACGAATCCGACCCCGGCCAGGCGGGTTACTCCACCTTGTAACGTTTACATGACAAATTGTGACCCCGGCTGAGAGGGTAACCCGGTCTGGTAGACCAGGCTACCCGCCTTGGCGGGTCACCCCACCTATCATGTAAACGTGATCAAATGAAAATGAGAGATTATATGGACAGGCGGGTTACCCCACCTAAGCGGGTTACCTCACCTACCTGGGGTCCCCCACCTCCATGTAAACAGGCCCTAAGAAGTTTCTGGGAGTATCACGTTGTAGTCGTGCAAAACAATGGCAAAGAAATGTACAAAAAAGTGTGCTGCACGTGCAAAGTTGCTTTTTTGCTAATTAGACCTATTATTGTTTTTCACTGTTCTCCGGTGTTGCCTTCGCCGCTTAGCATTACATGATTTTATATTTTGTTTGAACAAACTGTAAATATTATCGAGAGCTTCGCTTTTAGCTCTGGCTAAATCTATATATTATTTTGTTTGAACAAACTACAAATATTATCGAGAGCTTCGCTTTTAGCCCTGGCTAAATCTATATATTATTATCATTAGCAATTGCGGTATGAGCTTTAGCATAATCTGAAATGAACAGTCTTCAGCGCTGTTTTATTCATCAGATCATGCGAAAGCCGAATCCAACAATTGTTTTATTATTCAATCAAAATAGTATCATCTTACAATTGAAGCCCGTCTTAGTTCATTTGCAGACGATCCTGTTCCTCCTCAAATTCAGCACAGTAAAGGATAATGTTTAGTCTAGTAGCTAATCTTCATATATTAGTTGCCATCCGTCAAGTTGTATTTTGCTCTTTTCGTTATCTTTTTAAGTAGAAGCTCGGTTATTTTAAAAGGTTTAGAGGTTTGTCTATAGTGGAAAGTGCACTTAGCTTATAATGCAAACAGTTTACCGTAGCACTCCACTCAAATACTTAGAAACAAATAATTCAAATACAACATAAACAGGATCAAAAACCCCAACTGCCAGGAGGCAACCAGTTGGCCGAGGATTTGAACGCGGGACGACCGAGAACAAATAGAGCGCGTGGGACTCGAACCCGGGACCGCCGGATTGCGAGTCCGACGCGCTGATCACCCGGCCACGCTGCCTCCTCTACTTTAACCTCGTCCAGATGGTTTCCTCGGTTATCGTCCATTTTTCTGTCTTTATCCTGTCCTTTCGACGTCATTGGCACTGAATTTTACCAACGTGTTCCAAATTTGGTCAACCCTAGCCGATTATGAAAAATTATGAAATATTTGTACGTTTGTGATTGGCTCAAATCCTACGGGCTTCATAATCTGCTAGCCTTGACCGAATCCGGAAAAAGTGTGCATATAATTTGAAACAGAGAGTGTTATGTAAACCGCAGAGGCCTAGCACCCGCAACGACTAGGATCTGCATACCGTAATTCTTTAAACCCTACCCGGCCTCGTTCATTAATTGGTAATCACCATTATTATTATGCCATTAATGTTACCCGCAGTTAGAAACCAGCAACTTGTTTTTTTATTATTATTCCTTGTTCCAGAACAATCTTTCATGACTATCAGACTCCAGTCTCTTTGTCAAACCTGTTATTACCGTAAACCAAGTCCACATTGTGATTTTCATAGCGGTTATCTTTGCTGATACTTCATCGGCTTGAATTTGATTTTAATTGTGCATTCTTTGATTTTCAGTCCTGAACATAAAAACATTTTTCAAAGTGGCTGCAGGGGGTGTATTTATAGCTTCTGCCTATCAGCTGTTGAGGCGTGGCTGTACATATGATCAGTTGGTAACTGCTGTTAGTACCTGCGTTCTTCCAGCTGGCGTTAACCTGATACACATAGCTGAGGGGAGCGTTATTCTAAAAGTTCAAGCTGAAGACATTTTAGCTCTTGACACCTTGTGGAGTTCATACACTGACGGAACGCTTAGAAAATCCCTCCAAGCCTTATTTATCACAGACGAAATGAGAGAACTTGCTGATGGAGAGCAGTTAGAAGTTTCTGTTACCATTGAGCAAGAAGAATATGAGAAAGCACGTAAAGAGTTAATCAATGAAGCAGAAGGTGAATTGATTTCATACATGTTTTTTCTCTGCAGTTTCAATATGCGGGTTGATGCCAATCTACCTATTACTTTTTTTAAGTACAAAGTCGTATTAATAATATAATCTTTTTTCCATCTTAACATTTATTGCCGAGGGAAATGCAAACGTGTAGGGAATTTTTATTACAAATTTCATAGAATCGGCGGATGGCTAGTCACTAGGCAATGGTGACGTATTGCTAAACTGCTTCAAGGTAGCAGTTAGGCTGAACAATATTATTCGTTGTTTTTCTTTCTTTTGGCCTTTTTCGTGGATTATCTTAACTTTAAAGCTCCCCACCCCCTCCGGGTGCGGATCTAAGATAAATACTGACCGTTTTCCTAATCGAGCGTCGAAGGCGTAAGCTTTTAGTGCGGTCCGGGGTCACGCACCCCCGCGAAATGTTTTTTGGATTTTTACTCCTTAAATTAACCTTTCCTGGCAGTTTCTGAGTTATTCGGTCAGGATATTGGTCAGATTTTAACTTGGAAAGTTTTTTCCATGAAAAATTTATTTTTCTATGAAAACTGTGACCCATTTTCGTAAAACGGTGGAAACCGGTGTGGATCCGCGCCTGCGCTCCCTCACCCTCAAAGCCCTAACATGTTTCAACATTCTCACTTTCACGTTAATTAAAAGATAGGGATTTAATATTTATATCTGTATTTTTGATACCATATTTATTTCAGATGAACCTGAGGGTCAGGAAGAGAGGCAACTTCATGACCTTGCTCAGGAAAAACTGTCCTACATTACGAATTACTTAGAGCAAACCAAGTATACAGATGTATACAGTGTATCTACAGACGACGACAGTGGAAAGCCAGGATCGAGTATCGCACCATCTGAATTTGGATTTGAAGAAACCAGCGGTATGACTGTGAATTAGTCAATAAGAATTCCAAGCATAACCAAGCCCCCCACACCTCCCCTCTGGTCAATTGTCAAGTTGCGCGTTTCCACCGCAGGCTTTTGTCTTGAAGGATCTGATAAGGGAAATTCCATCGGGATCAATAGATCGTTTTCACTTGACGTCAAAACAATGGAACAGCGGCCATGTTGGTGTACTGAGAAAATCCCGTGAAGGTTGAACTCTTTCTAATGAAAAACTTTATTTCTTTTGTTCCAACAAATTTGCACAGCTGCTGACCACGTAAGAGAGAACGATCTATAAGACAGTTTCGATTTTTTAAAATTATACTTGGCTACGAGGCTGAGGGATGAAAGAAAAGAAACCGCATTGAAATTCAGTGATAAATAAAAGATTCTTTCGTTTTATTCCACTTAGTCTCGTAGCCACGTGGGAATTTTGATAACATTTATGGTCTAGCTTAGCAAGCGCCTTAACAGAAATATACAATGTAGCAGAGCTCAAGCAAAGAGCGTCCCTTAAAAGTTAGTAAGTGAAATATCATCACTTTATCCGTCCTTCCATTATTTTCTCATAGTCTCCTGAATGCATACTCCTGAAATCAATTCATACTGTTAGTGACCGATACGTTCAAATTGATATCTATATTTTTTAGGACACTGAAGTCAATAGTTCTCAATCAGATTTCTTTTGTTTTTGTCATGTATTTGTAGATTATTCCACCTCCAAACTGTGCTTGAAAGATTTAAGTAAGGAAGTGACTGAGGAAATAACGTTCAGGCTTAATAGGAACAAAGATGTTCTAACCCAATTTTACCGGTCTTTTGGGCTTCATCCGGATTTACTTTACGACGAGCTTGACTACCAGCCGAGGAACATTCGACATATTTTCCCTGATACCCCAGTCAAACTGCTGAAGGAAGTTTTTGAGGCGCTACAGCTGTATCACTTTGCAGAGTTCTTAGAGAAAGCAACCAAACCACGGACACTTCGTCCTGCTCTTCCGCTGAAAGAGATAGAAAAGTTATCGAACGTCACTAACCGCCCAACAAAGGTTTACAGTAAAGCAGAGGTTTTAATAATCGAGTTCTGTGAAGGTCCTTCAACTGCCGCAAACAATGATCGAAATGATGCAGAAAGAGTTGGATCATTTTTTAAAGCCCTGAATTCACAGAACGAAATAACTACGTTGACCTCAAATTCTTCGAAGAAATTGTTTGCAGAGTTGGAATACTTAGTGAGAGCCAAGGAACAAGAAGAAAAAGCTGACAGACTAACAGGGGAATTGGAAAAGCGCCTAAAGACACTTCTCGAGGACAAAATCCCAGAAAGTCATATGAAAGTACAGACTAGAAGAGGGAAAAAGTTATTTAGCTTCGGTTCTTCGGCTGTGCAACGAGTAGAAGGAACATGGTGGCCAGAGGGAAGTTTGGTCCCCAAGAAGGATGCGAGATTATCGAGTGCGTTCTACGAAGAGGAGCCTGCGATGAGAAAAAAACTGAAAGAGGTGGCAGAAAGCAGAAAAAAATGGAAAAACGAAAGAAAGCCCTCGATCGAGAAGCAGATACAGGAGAAGGAGGAGGAACTAAAAAATGAGACTGAGAAACTGGCAATAGGTGTTTCAACCGTCATCGACAAATGGGCCGCAAAACTACACGCAAATGATCAAGGTTCGATATCATACACCTCGTAAAACAACAATATAAACCCTTTGGGAGTTGCAACAACAACGGCTTAGCAACGGTCAAAAATATTTTAAGTACCGTTTATTGCGCTTTTCATTAACATGCAAACTCCTAAGAGTTTACGTTTTTCGCTTCCTTCACCAATCTAGCAGTCGTCTCAGGAGACAAGTTTTCTTCAGTGCCGGGTTCAAAAAGTCATTCCTGGGGGTTGTGATTGGTAGATTTCAATAAGCCTTTTTTTCGTTTCGTCGCAATTGTGATTGACGACAGCGAAAAACATCCATGAACCGTTAAAAAGTGAAGTAAGCATCCATCCACACACTGTTCCACATTTGTTAAGAAGAAGTTGTAGCATTTGTTTTAAGCCAACTATGAACCTCGGAATCTCACTTCTACTTCCTGGTACACTCTTATGCACCCTGTGGCGCTGTGATCCTTATAATTAATTCAAGTAAAAACTCTCAATTAATAGATCCCCTAGCCTGGGCAACAGACAGTTAACTCCGTCTGCGAAAAAAGGGCCGAAATCCTTGTTCTGGGCCCCCACCCGTGTACTACGATTATGTACGCGCCATGATTGGCCTGTTAAAAATGCCATTGTCAATTTGCCAATCAGATTGAAGGGAAATTAGAAACGCCTTTCCGGCAATTCATTAAGTTCGTTGGGGGCCCAGAACAAGGACATTGGCGCTGCTTCACAGACGTCACTAACCAGCAGAATTGAATTACGCCTGTGACGGAGGCTATAGCTTCCCATCTTCTTCATCTTGCGGAAGGGATTAAAATTGGCAATATTACTGAAAATAATGTCCAAAACTCATTAAAATTTACTATAGTTACGGTTCTTCTACTTCTAATATGTGAATAATAATACACGTTCGTAGACAAAAAATTTTTCTTTTGTAGGAAAGGAATCGACCCTTTTTGTCGTCATTATTTACAACAGCCTGAGTTTGGACTGGCGAGTGATCGATGCACTACACCAGACGACTATCAGCATAAGCAGATGTTTGAGTAAAAAGCTGGCGCTTGTTCCAGACACGAAGCTAGTGATAACAAATAATGTGTGACGCATGAGCGAAAAAGAAAACATTTCACGCGAAACTCTTGAAGTGGATTTGTCTGGAAAAGATGTGTTATCGGCGTTGCTGCAGCATCTAAGTAAGCGTTTCGATACACTAAACCTCGTTTCAGTGATGCATGAATTACAAAGGGAGACCTCTCGAGGAGTCCCTCATAACCACAGATATAACGAAGTTCAAATACGTGAAAATTTGTCGTGCCTTCCAAGACTCCAAAAGACGGAACAAGTCTTGTAGATAAGTCGTAGTCTACCTGAATGAAGTCCTCCCCAAGTTATATACCCCATTTGGCCTCCTTCGAGGCATAGCGTTCCCCGCCTTCTGCTGCACGCATTCAATCCTCTTCAGGTCCACTGTGAATTTTACGAGTAGGTATTTAAAAAGGCAAACAAGCAGAAACTACAACGGGGAACAGTACCGTCTTTAGTATTACTCTTTTCAATTTCGCTGTTAGACATACTGACATTAGAAAGAAACATTTGGTATAAAGAATATTGACAAGGACTCTTGAAGGACCATAATCTTTACGAGCTAATATGCCTAGTGCAACTTAAAGTTTTATTCAAGAGACTAGGGACTACTGTGTCCCGGGTAATATAACCTGTTCTTTGAAAGCACTGGCCTGGTATTTGTGTGGTATTGTGACTTAGGATGAAAAACTGCCACAAGTGATGAAAGTAAACCAAAACGGATAAAAGAATTATGCCAACAGCTCTGACCCTTTTATTGTTATGCACACTTCATCAGCAGAAAAACGGACGTTTTTGTTACACAACGGTAACGTCAAACTCTTTTTCGCCAAGGCGCTGTTCATACTTGGTGCCCGAACACTATTGCCTGGGTACCGGCACAAAATGGTGTTGTGTTCACACTTTGGGTACCCGATGTGTAACTGTGTGCACACTTAATCAATTTCACGCTGTTGGAGGCTACTTTGAAATGTGAGTGTAGCAATGTAGCAGGGAGTACACCTAATAACTAACAGAAAACATGTGCACACACCGGTATTGTGCCCGAATTGTGGTAAGAGTGCTTAAATTGGTGTGTCCACATCAAAACTTAGCACCGTGCATGGACATTCAATGTGAACGCTGGTATAATTGACAGCTAATTGACAACGTAGCTGCGAAATGGCTGAGGATTAGTAAAACATTAAGGTAAAAAAAATGTTGCGTCAAAATTGTTTGAGCTTTTAGCGGGTTGCAGGAAACCAGCAAGCACGTTACAGGTAATAACTGTTATCTCATTATGTGTCACTTACGATTTGCATGATGTCTCTACTGGATGCTGCCTACGGTCATTAGTGACTGCTGTGAAGAAGTGACGACGATGATGACGATGGCGGTTGCATATAAGCAAAACATACTGATACATTGAAGCAAACAAAAAAAACCTTGACTCGAAACTACTTGCCTTTTTTCTGCTTCAAAAAATATTCTCCGTACAAAAAGGATGATTTAAGTTTATTTCTAAGGAGTTTTCACTACATCTACTTTTGTAATACAGTTGAGATATAAAGAGCACTCTGATCGGTTGAAAAAGCGTGCTTTATGGGAGTAAAACATGGAGCTAAAGCTGTCACACCATCCGCCAATAGTTTGTTTTGAAAAATAGAAAGTCATGCATGGAAAATTTAATGGCTTCTTATCAAAAAACACAACAATTGTAACAAAGAAGCTTTGACTGTGCTCTGTTGTAAAGCACGTAGGAAGCGGCTAAAGCACTCAAGAAGTACAGAGAAACACTCGAATAGTCTTTTGTATACTTCTTTCTTGTTCATGTTATTCTTTTCATGATCAGAACACAGTCAAGGCTTCTTTCTATGTTAATTAAGCAATCACTTTCCGTTGACAATTCACAGTCTGTATAGTGGTATAATTCATGTAACCTTCATTCATAGAGGAAACTTGTAACTAAAGTACTTTGGTAGCGTTTAAAATCAATTTAAGGTCTGAGATGCACTTCAAATTAATGAAAGTAATTAAACGGTACCTTTTACGGAGGATGTCGTTCTCTTAATATGCTGTACAAGTACCTTTTAATATAGAAGGGAAGCGTTTCCATGTAGCTTAATTTTGTATTTACAAATTAAATTGAAGAACATTTAAAAGTTTCAACTTTGAAAATATCCCCGGGAGGTACTTGGGTTAATTTTTACTGGTTATGTGCCGCTGGCCTCTTAGAGCCCCTACCCCATTATAACCTATTCTGTGGCCCATTATATACCCCATCTTAGTCACTTGGGCAAATATGTAACTTTCGGGATCCCAAAATCTGAATCTGAAAAATTCACCTACAGTACAAACATTCTGGTATGTTTGCTGAACGTAAAAATGAAGAACTGTCTTACCCCAAAAATCAGAAAATGTGCGACTCTGTTAAAAATGCGATCCCATTATAGTCAATCCAGTCGTGAAAATGCGACCCCATCCAGCGGCACATCCCCAGTAGGCTCTTGTAAGGAAGTACCTCCCACGGGCAAAATATCTCTGCCATTTACTTCGAATCATTGGTAAAGAGCGACACGTAAAAATCGGCAACGGATCGTTCATGGCGATATTTCTTGACGATATCTTGAATCTTGAGTTTACGACAAACTTGAGGCGGAGAATACCTGTAAGCGATAAAACAAAGGGTCAAAAACTTGGAACTTGGGTGGCTACCCATCAATGAAATCTGTATTGAAAGAAGACTACTTCTGCTCAAGAAAATCCTGGATGGACGTGCACCGGATTACATCTCTGAGAAACTGTTATGATATCATGATATAAGGTCTCGGTTGCCTTATAGGCTTCCTGTTCCACATACCAATAGCATGAAGCGGGCGTTCTTTTACAATGCAGTTAAACTGTGGAACAACATGTCAGTGAAAATGCTTTAGTCCGCTCTTCTGACGTAAAGACGTTCAAAAGAAATTTCTTTGATTCAGTCATGTGCAAATTCACGCCTGACAGTTTTAAAATTGACAGAATTTTTTAACTTTCTTAAGCGACTTAATATTTTCTTAAAGTACTTAGTAAGTTTTTTTTTAATCCATGTGTAAATTCGAGTACGTTCTGATATTGAAATTATTTCTTACCTTAGTATTCTAGTTTTTTAGGATTTTTTCAAATTTCAGTAGTTTCATAGGACGATAAGGGAGAGTACAGTTGGTCTGTAATTATGCACCCCATTGAAATTAAAGTGTTCATTCATTCAAAAGATGTCGTTTCACTATAAGCACAGTTGCGGGAAAAGAAATTATCTCAAATTATCTCCATGCAATGGCGATTTGAACAAATTGTTAATATGGGCAATTAGAACCAAACGCGAGTGGAAATCACCCATTTTGTTGGTGTAACTAAAAAGTATTTTGTTTCCTTTTCGTTAAAGAAGGTTACAAAAAAGGTACAGAACAAAATCAAAAAAAAGTTCCAACTTAGGTCGCGTAAGGCTGCTTCAACACTCTGAAAAAAAAAAACATCACTTACGAGTCAATTTCCAGTCTGCGCCTACGGCATATATTAATAGCGGTCTGCCGCACCATGGTGCCCAGTGTTCTGCGGCTCACTACCATACCGTCCACCAAGGGCCCACCAATAGGAGACCTAAAAAAAGCACCAATTATCTTTAGATTAAGGCGGGCTGGCAAAAACACACAAAATTAACAAACATGATTGAATAATGAGGGCTTTATGAATAATATCACGGTATTTTTCAAGGCTGCCGTACTTAACAAAAATTTACAATTAAAAAAAATAGACATAGAGTGATGTACCTGATTGTTGACCTGATATGGATGCGGAATAGCCCACTTCTCAGGTGATGTATAAAAATAACCACGGTGTCTTTCTCACGCCAGCTGTGTCCTACATTCTGACTGAGATCAAATTCCATCGGCAGCTCGTCCACAGGGAACTGGGCATGATCTTCAAACCGCTCGAGCCAGGCCACCACTACGTTTGTCTCGGACGAGGTGTTGTGCGTGCTCAACCTGGACAGCGGTCGACTCTCTAGTGAGAGTTCGTTACCAAGACGCGACATGGCACGGTTCTGAAACCAGAGAAAGCGTCTTGGCGTTGACTTAAACGATAATGACTCTTTCGCCGCGACAGGACTAGTTCAGTCGGTACAACGCTTGACTGCAGGACGGGAGGTCATGGGTTCTATCCCCGGGACCGGACAAGCTCTCAGGGTCATAAAATATGAGCAGTAAAGATACTGTCTTTGCCCTGCAGACGGCCAGACCTTCACGTGGCTTGGACGGCCACGTTAAATGGTGGTCCCGTCTCCATTGGGAGACGTAAACATAGTGGTGTCCTAAATTAATAGTTTTACGCTAAATGCATTCACACTCAAACAAAGTGCGATTGTTTTGTTTTTGCCCAAGGAGCAAAAGTGGCAGTGGTTGGTATATTACGTTAATGCGAATTATCGCTATTGGCTGGATTTTTTCGGGTTAGTTTCGCGGATAATTGACTTTAACTTTAAAATAATACTAGCATCAGCTAAACTGTTTACAAAACCTTCTGTTAGTTTATGGACAGAGCAAGTCCTTAACTTCGCCCCGCTTTTTGGAAGGAAATTTCATTTATATAAATTACTTTTGCCCCTTAATATAATGTAATGGAATGACACTGATAATAGACCATTTGCACGATGGTGTCATTTTACTACTACGACACGAATCCTTCAGGGTTTTGCTTTCTTGTGCAAATAAGTGCTTTTGTTTTGTAAACCTCGCTGGGATTACCAAATTTAAATATGAAAGGAAAAACGTAAAGGATTCTGGTCGTAGTAGTAAAATGACGCCATCGTGCAAATGGCGCATTGATTTCCTCCCCATTGCTTCTTTCTACAATGACAGGTAGTCTATATAAGTAAGGTAAAGTATCACTGGCTCTCATATACCTCGTGTATAGTCATCCCTTCGGAGGCCTGACGGGATATCTTGCTTTTGATATCCAACTGGCTCCCAATACTACTTCCTTCCAGGCTCCCAGTGCTACCTGACCGAGTCCTTCTTCGCGGCATGGGCTCTACTTCCTCCTTAAAGCTCTCCAGCTGTTCTGCTAAGCACCGAAACTTCTGATACCGTGGCAGGAGGGACGGCATGATAAACGCAACTTCAGAGCTTACATCTGCGTAGTAAAGAATCTCATCAACCAGCTTGGTTTCAGTCGGAGGATGAGAAGGAGAAGAATTCACGGCTGGAGAATCCTTCCCGCTGCTCGGCGATGCTTCACTATCAAAACTCTCTCGGCAAGACGCATATCGATCGCTGTCGCTCCCAGACACCTCCTGTTCTTCGCTACCCGTGAGAGTTGACACGCTATGAGAGGACTGTAAATAGCTGGACTCCGCAGGGCGCAAGGTAGATACACTACTGCCTCTGCTCCAGCACTGCTTAATGTTCCCTGACCAGCCCGAGTGTGAGTCTATATCGACTAGCCATCCTAAGGAGAGTAGAAACTCACGGAATGCCTTGGAGTGCTTACAGGAACCAATCTGTTAGCAATACAAGGAAATGTTTGAAAAATTATGTTAGCGTGTGTTTTATACATAATGTACTTTAAGTTTAATCTTCAATTCACCATGACCCGACAAAGACGGGAAGACAAGGTCGTAATAGAGCCACAATTATCTCGTGTTTGTTATAGAGTTATACACCATAAAGGCCAACAACAGTGCAACACATTACTCCATGTCAACTGTTTGCAAACATTTTTCGTGCAAACGGCATTCCCTACACTTTAAGATGCTCCGTCATTTTTTCCTATTTTGTTTCCAACTGGCGCGTCTCTCTTAAGTACTGACAAACGTTGTTTAATTAGAACGCCAATGACAGACTGGGTCGTTCTTTATTTTCATATAACTTCATATTTGACAGAGTCTTCGGTGAATGTTATTCATGAGGACACTTTGCGTCGAATATCACCAATAAGGTTCGTTCATTCCAGTAAATATGACAGATATTATACTCACCTGGTTTTCTATGATTTCATGTGCGTCTGTTTGTTCCGCTTTTACGTAAAACACATAAACTGTATCCTGTGTTCGCGTAGAAACGTGATCAAGTTCCCTCAGAGCTTGAGAGAATCCGCTGGACGTGGAATTCAGTGCAAGCAGGCTCGCGTCCTCGAATGGACGCAATGGATTACCCTACAAAAGAAAGAAAGATATGTCACAAATGCATCAAGTCAAGGGAGAAGGCTATAGTGTCAGACAAAAATAGTTGGGACACTTCCACCCAGTGCTGTTTTTACTTCTGGCCCGTCTCCTTGTCCTCCCGATGTTGTTGATCGCAGTTAACTCACAAAATCTTGCGCACCAACATTGGGAGGGTAAGAGGACAGTTAAGTGTCCCAACAATTTTGACGGAGACTGTACATAACGTTCAATCTTGAACAAAAATGTTGAGAAAAACGGACTTCCCCATGTCTAGTTTCAAGATAAAGCTCTTGAAAGCACTGGTAACTACAAATTAATAATCCCCTTCCCATCCCCACCCCCCCGCCTTCTCCCCACCAAAAAACAAAACTAACCAAAACAAAACAAAAAAAAAACATTAAAGTCCGGCTGGATCATTTCTGATGCCCACTAAAAAACGTTGCTAGGGTGGAGCGAGGGGAGAGGCCATAGAGGTACCATAATAGCGGGATAGGCGTGCTGGGGATAAGAAAGTGCAAAATTCTCAACAACACATTTTGTCCAAGATTGTTGCTCTAAAGGGCTTAGTGGGTTACGCAGGAGAAAGATAGGTCCCCAATACATTCTGATGTCAAGGGACGACTAGGACTTGATGCGCCACATGTGAAATCTTCTAAGTGCCTTGCAACGTGGTAGTACAGTCGACCGTCGAGGGTAGAGGATCAAAAGCACTTCCTTGTCAGTGCTATCAGCCTTTTTTAGCACCCTTATCTCCAGGGTTGTTTGTACTTTCTTCCTCTTGAAACAGTAGAGGAATCCCTTGGGACGAGGTTGTTGTTGTTGTTGTTTTTCGGCACTTTTTCCGGCCGAAATGTTGAGAAACCAGAGACTGAGTTCGGGTTCGCAAGAACTGTTAGATGAACGGAAGTCTATCCTAAAAACGTACTGTGATAGAGCTCTTTGATTACAACTCCAAGACTTTGGAACGACCTTTCTAAAACCAGATGTTCAATTTCTGTTTAGATGTTTAAGAGGGAGCTGAAAACTCATTCAAATTTGCTTTCTGTAGTTCAATGACCTCATCCTGAATTTTCTCGTTCTTTGTAGGTTTATATTATAATATAGATTTTAATTTCTAAAATATTATTATAGTATTGGCAAAAAACAGCAAGTACGTCTGACAAAATCCCTAAAAATAAGCGCAAACAGAATAGCAGTACTGCTTTACCATTAGTCCTTCGATGGACAGTAAACCAAGATGGGAAAGCAAAAGACGAGATGGACTAAACTCCTTACATGGTCTGAAAAACACAAAGAGAAGTACAGAATTAAGTCAAGTGAATCGAAATAACGACCAGGTTGAAAGTAACAAAAATACACCTGATAATATTCTAAACTCCCTTGGCAAACCCGTCGAGCAACGCTTCTTTAGCCTATCAAAGAGAAGGACAATGCGTGACGATGGAGATAGCGGCTTCAAATACCGTAAAATAATCATCTATTTAGTCCTTCAAGCGAGTGGTTTATTTATTTCAATCACGGGTGGGGTGGGGTGGGGTGGGGATAATAAGAGAGATCATTGGCTTATTTAAGAGAGGGGGGCTCATTTGATTTAGCTTAACATTGCGCTCACTCTATCGTTCATTGATTTGGTTGTTAAAAATGAGGGTGAAGAGGGAGGCCTTAATAACTTTCTTCTCTTGAAAAAAGGGGGGCTGTGCTTACTAAAGAGAGGGATAATTGAGAGGGTGCCTTTAAGGTGGATTTACGGCAAGAATACTAAACATATAACATGTGCTGTCATTCATCAACCTGCTACTGTTGCTACTTACTGGGGTGGTCTTATTCCTGCATCATCATCAGCAAATTTCACTTTTGATTTTCCTCCTTTTAATTTTGCCTGCGCCACTGTTTCATGCTCCAACTATTAAGCAAAAGACAAATCATGAAAGATATTGTTTAGTGTGGTATGTATAAGATAGGGCTCGTTTGTCACTTTCCTCACAACAATCATTTCGTTATTGACCGCAACGTGGCATGGAGTAATGCTCTTCTTCATCAGGCGAATGATGAAGACCAGCAGTATACGGTCCAAAAGTGGGGATAAACAACAAAGTGACAATACTGAGAAAAACGAGGCCTATCATAAGTAAACGGAGTACACAGGCATGGAAATACTGAGAGACTCAAGATTTCATCTAAATTTATAGATTTCGGACATTTCTGATATGACTGGTAAACTAAAGGCAACCTCGTTCCCAGGACTATTCCCTCCCATTTAGCCCTAGGGACGAGGTTGAGGTAAAGGATGAGTAAAGCCCGGTCCTCACAAGTGACGCAAGCATAAGCATAGCGTGGTCCTCACTACTGAGCGAGATAATCATGAGTATAAGGAGCTTCTACGCTAGTCAGGACGGGGAGGGGGAAGGGGGGAGGGGACATAAGCATATGGATGAACACAAGAATATCGAACCCTTTCGGTCTTCTTATGGATAAACATGTGTCAAGGCCGTCTTCCCTCCAGTGCGTGGGTCAAGGCCGTCCTCAACTAAGGTTCTTTGCATAGGCTTACGATATGCTTACTCTCATACTTGCTTGTGCTTGCGGCTCTAGTGAGGACCGGACATAAAGGCACGGAAGGTGGAACTAATTATAGACCTGTTTCTGCATAAGTGCTCGCATATGGTCCTGCACTTCACTGAGTTTAGAATCTAAAATGTCATCCAGTTCTGGTATACTTCGATCTCTAGAAAAAGAAAACAAGAAAAGAGAAAAAAAGGTATTAAATAACACTAGACGGAAATCGTTGGCAACGGATGGAAATGGAAATATGTGAAACAGGTGTTTTAAAGCATCATGAAATGACTAGTCCGGGCACTGGTTACAGTCCCCGCTCCCTACACACACAAACAACACTCACTGCGTCTTTATATAAATTTGCCGAATAGCCTGCGTTCAAGCCCTCCCTATATAATTATATTTTACGTCTTTCATCGGAAGGGGGGAAAACGCCTGATCGTAGATTATTTGCTGAAGAAAAAAACCTATGTTCGAATTTACTCTGCGGTCCAGCAAAGTTGGAAAGAACTTTTATTAAAACAAAGTAATACTGCGCTTCTTGAGAAGGATTTAGAGCTGTTGGTCATAGCAAACGCCACCGTTTTTCCCAGACCAAACCTTCTTTTTCTCTATCCACCCGTACTATGCATGTGATAACGGCCTGATAACAACAACGTCGGGTCTCTGTTTAAGCAAAAGGGTTCCAAATGAGATAAGGCACTAGCTTGCGTTGCAGACACTTTACACTGCCGGCATGGGCCAATAGTTTAGACGATGGGTGAACCAGCTACAACGCAGGCTATAAGGTACGTACAAAGCTATAGGAAAACTTGGAGGAAATAGGACGGATGTTGCAAAAGAAGAAAAAAAAAACAAATTCACTAACGCTTTCGTGAGAGGCACTGTATCCACTGCTTCAGGGAAGGCCCTGTGTTTTATGTTCGGAGGGGGTCGAGGTTGGGTCTTGTCTGGTGAAGGGCGCCCTGGGTCCTTAAGGTGCGCCTCAATCAGGTCCTAAGGAGAAAGAAGCAAATTTACTAGAAAGAACGTTAGTTCTTGTGCAAAATATCACAATACTAAAGCATTTCCAAAGAAAATTGTTCGCCGTACGGATATTATTTTGAGCAAGGACTTTTCAGCCCCTTAACAAAAAGGTCGTCAACTAGCTGCAGTGCGTAAAACTTCGCATATGAATTAATGAAAGTGTCAGGAGTCATTGCAGCAAGCAAAAATTCAAGAATCAAAGATTGATTTTAGCAGTCAAAAGGGTTAAAAAACTTATCCAAAATGAGAAGAAGTAGAAAAATAATAGAAAAATTCAGTTCTTCAACTGTCATCTTAAACAAGGCTGATTTCACTGGTCAAAAGTGTACATCGGCTGAATTAAGCTGAAATACCACTGCTCTAACTCAATCAAATTGCAAAAATTTCTCACGGAGCAGAAGAAAAGTATTAATTGAATAAATAACATGAAGTACTGTACATTTTTCTGTCGTGAAAACTGTCTTAACTGCATGGTCCACACATAACGGCCAGTGGGACCACGGATAACTGCTGACAAGGTCGGTAAAGGGTCTAACAGAAAAAAATACATATTGACGTTATCAAGTTAGTGTAAAATAAAGCTTATAGAGAGGCCGGGTCACACCGTCGATCTCTTTTGTTTCTGCACAGGGTTTAGAATTCATGAAGATCGCTTAAAATCAATGGGTTTGTTGATTCTTTTCTTAAAAGAATGCGATACTTGCCGTGGTTCATTTATTTTATGGCAAACGGTAACCTTGCTAGTATATTAAATGGACAGCGTTGTTTTGTCGTACCGTTGTAATTCATTATCAGACCAAATTTGTCTTGCGTGTAGCAGTAAACAGGCACAAAAATTAAGCCATCAGGTTCTGGGAAATCTTCATTAAACAAGAAAATTCTTTACTATGAATGTCATTGTCTTAAAAGCTCTCTAAAGTAAAGCAGAGCAGTAGTTTCAAAGCCAGTGATATCTAAAGTAAAGCAGAGCAGTAGTTTCAAAGCCAGTGATATCTAAGGGGTTTGTCACAAACTCAGCAAACTGGGCCCCAGGGCATTCGACCCAAAAGGCAAGCAAAGATTTAGTCTCCCTATATGACTGCATTTATGGTGGAAAAGGCTTATAACAATCATGTATCCTGCAATGAATAACTCTGAGTGATGCAAGCTGAACAAAAGGAAAGCTTACCTTTGTGCTTTAGGGATTCTTCCAACAATCCCAACATGATACTGCTATCCTGGATTACAAAGTATTGGAATTTGCGGGGCGTCTGATGAAAAATAAAACACGTAACATATGAAACACTTGCTAATAAACAGTAACAAAAATAATATGAGTCTGGTGCTCGTCTGGTGCCAAGCGCGGGAGAAGACAGAACCGTTGATAGGCAGGCAGGAAAGCAAGGAGAAAAGTACGGGAAAAAAGACCTGGTGCCAAGCGCGCCAGAGAATAGAAGCGTTGTTAAGCAGGCTGGAAAACACGGAGAAAAATGCGGGAAAAATGAACTGGAGCCAAGTGCGGGAAAGGACAGAACTGTTGTTTAACAGGCAGGACAACATGTTGCCGGCGCCAAATGTCAAGTACTCAATACCTGTGTGTAAAGAAATAAAAGCGCGGGAAAAATGAACTGGTTACAAGGACGACAAACATGTCGCTGGCACCAAACGTTAATAAGTACTGGAATTTGTGCAAAGGAGAAAAGCGCGGGTAAATGAAGTGGTGCAAAAGGCAGGGAACAAACAAAGATGGAAGGACGCAAGAGAGATCAAGACACATTAAATTTAGTGCGGACGCTGCGCTCAAAAGCAAGCAGCAGGTTATAGATGGTTGCTGTATGATTAAAGTTCTGCTTTTTTTGTTTTTCGTGACAGAATACTGTACGTTATCTCAACTATTTAAGGACTAGTCTTGTCCTGACCTTTGTTGAGCCATCGGCTGGCTGCACGTGATCCAAAACCCAGTCTTCGTCCAGAAGAGATGATAAGGAGGCTGGACCACAAGGTGAAGGGAAAGCTCCCTGTTGAATTAAAAGAAGAGTCTGACCTGGTCAAAGCACAATAGTATTTCCCCCACTAATTTATCTAAAAGAGTTCACACTATCTCCTTATCGAGGAATGTGGGAGAGGCAGCGAGCTTCACTTCAAATCTGAAGGTCTGGGTTTGGGTCTTCACAGCACCTCCGTACTAGTGAATACTGGGATAACTGTGTAATGAACTGGCATTGGCCTACCCTAGGTTCAACATGCTTCCAACATGGGTAACCTGTGCTCATATGGAATTTTTTAACAGTCACTATCCTTTCGACTGCGAACACCATTAGTATCTGGATGACATACCAAGTGTTCCGTTATGACAGTCAAGAGGCCTTCAGCTGCTTCTCTCACTCTGAACGATACTGGTTTTAGTTCTTTGTCACCTGCAAGGAGGAGTAAAACCATTACTGAAATATAAAGCTGGACGTTTTTCCCACACAGGACGCGTTCTAATTACTTATTCGAGATCCTATGATACCTACAAATGTTTCCCGCTAAAAGCATCTGAGCGGACAACATTCCATTTTGACGTCAGAGGAAGTTATGATTTTATCAGTGTACTGTTTCCGGCATGTTCACCGCTCGGCGAGATTTACTTTCAATTCGTACAGTGTAGAGATTTATCCTTTTGTTCTACAATTATAACAAATTACATGATGATTTTAAAACTACTTAATTTTTGTTTCCCCGTGAGCCTCAGTGTTTCGCAAGGCAGATACCACTGAAAATAGGAAAGGAAGATTGACCAGAAGAAAAACAGAAGTTTGACCAGCCTACGCAAAGCCTAAACGTGGTTAATCCTATGGTCTTTGCTTATATCAATACGGGAACATACACAAAATTGAGCTGACACTGCTAGAAGTAGAAGTGGAACCTTGGTATTTACCCACCTTTTAACCGAGGGACAAATTCTGTTCCTTGCTGATGATCCTTGAGATAGAGGCACGAAAATGTTGGTAAGAACAGTCTTAATTTTCAGAAAATTAACAATTTGAAAGGGAAATTGAAGGCTATGAAAGAAAAACAATTGAGGTCTTTAAATGGCCACTACAGAAACTTTGGTACTGAATTTTAAAGGATTGCTGTGTCAAAACCGATGAAAGCTGTGATCGACTTACGTTGGCATCGTTTGTGACCCAACTTAGAAATCTGTGTCAGATGGAGGGAGGCCAGTGCTGTCACCCCTGCGCCGTCTCGACTTTTTACCTCAAAAATTCAACGTGCGAGTGAAACGACACTGCTTTGTTGTGTTACTTACTCTTGGAATTTCTCTGGACTTGCTTCCTGATATTCCCAGCTCAACCACTTCCATGACAACTTGTAAGCAGCCCTGCAAAGTTCAAAGACAAATCATTTAAGATGCTGCTATTTTATGACCGTAAGCCTCTATATCTGTGTGTGTGATTTTTTTTCTAACGCATTAAATTGATATCACCAAGAGTTTTTACTTCTCCATACACTTTCTTATGGGTTAATTCAGAACTTCCAAAACAACGAAGTGCAGCGATTCAAAAGAAAGGTACTGAGTGGTACTTTGTGCTGTACCTCTATTCACTATGCTGTACAAAATGGTTCTAACTTTTGATTCTGTGGCTAAAAGCTTTAAGGGCGATCAAAGAAATCTACTGAGCAGTTCTTTTCTGTGGTGCTGTTTATTGCGCTGTAAACGATGGTTAACTTTTGCTTCTGGGCATGGAATTTTCATAATGTGACCATTGAAATGTACACTACTTTTGAGTGGTGCTGTTCATCTTGTTTTAGATGGTGATTCTACATGTAACCTTCTATCCGAACGACGGGTTGCGAACCCCTTCAAAAGTACTTTGACATGGAACCATTTATTTAGCACTACTTTACTAATTTGGAATTTCTCTTGTGTTTTCCGTTCGGAACACTAGCCTTGCGAGTAAAAGGATTATACAGACCTGACTATCCAATAGCCATGGGTGTGACGTTATCCATGTTTGCAGGCAGCTGAATGCAGCAACTATCATAGAGTGTAAGTCACGTGAGTGATGTGTGGCTTTCTTATTGGCTTGGTATGATACATAATCACACAACCAGTGGATTGTACTCTTGCATTCAGCTTGGTCTGAAAAAGCAAAAAACATCCAACATTATTTTTATCTATGTGCTTTTAAAAGTGTGCAGCTGGATGGTTTATATAGTAAAATATAACTCGTATAGCCTGCGTAGCTGGTGAAATTTTTGTGCGTGGGATGGCGGCAGAGCCGCCACGCGAAGCGAGAACAGCGAAGCCGCGAGGGAAAATTAATTTGTCTTGTTCCCAACCTTCATGCATCTCCGCTGCCAAAACACTACAGCACTCGCCTGCCAATCCCACCAGATGCAGGCTATAACTTATGCTTTTCTAAATGCTTTCTTCAAGAGGAAAACCTGTGCTCAATATCAGTCCATTGTATTTGCTGAAGTCATACTATTTCACACCCAAACAAGAAATAAATTTCTATTTACTCTAAACGATTTTAATTCACTTTTGCTTCGTTTCAAAGTCATTATCAGACAGTGTACATTACCATATCCAAAAAGAAACTCAAGGGGGAATAAAACTTAAAACAAGGATAAAATTCAACCACAACATACATGAGATCTTCCTTACCCAAATGATCCATGCTAAGTTGAGCAAGACTAGAAAGTAGCTCAAAGGCAGACAGTGTAATGTGCAGGTCAGATTTCCATCGGCTGCTTCTTATCACAACAAGTTTATTACAAAGGAGATGTGTCAACTGCACAAAGAGAACCTGTATTGTGCTCAGGTCAGCTGAAAACAAAAAAAAGGGAAAAAATACATTACAGTGTACCGAAATAGCTAAGAATTGCAGAGTTCAACTGAGATACATGAACATGAAGTACAGGTGTAGAAGACCAAATTGAAGGATGTCAAAAGTGGTGGAGGGAAAAGTACCAGGTCTAATCAATTGTAATATGAAATTGGCTAGACCACAATTTAGATTGTGAACAGGCTTCCAGATAACAGGACACAGTGGTTTGGAAAGGAGGAGAGGAATCTGGGATGGTTTGTAGTGTTTTTGAAGATCAATATTCACTGCTGGTGGCAGGGCTGGAAGAGGATGGAGATGGAATTTGAATCCTACTGTGAATTCCCCTGTGGCTCCATGTGAACTGGGCTGTCAGATTTCCACCAATCAGCACGAAGCAGAAAAGAGTGCGAATGTAAACAAACATTGAAAAAAAAAGTGCCAAGGGTAGTGACGTTATTAGTAGTGTCATCTACGCCAATCAGCATTTTGCATCGACATTTTTGATGCAGATATTCAAATTCCAGAGATGTAGTTTGCAAGCTCTCCTTCCTTTTCCTACCCCACCACCCAAGTGCCACAGAGAGCTTGCTCGCAGGCTACACCATGCTTTATAGGTGATTAACCAAAGAAGTTGACAAAATCGAATTTGACAATACTCTGTCTGATTGACACAGCACCACAGTTTTCTTAAAAAAAGTTATTTACTGCTTCATTCAATAAGACAGTAACTATTTACTCAGCTGCTAAGCTTCCACATTTTTTCACATTTTTTTATTTTAAGTAGTATGAATGCATACATGTACCATTTGACTGCACAGACTGCTGACTGAATCCAAGCTGGCCAACACTGTCCAAAGTACCAGTGCTGCCAGCCTCTGATATTGGGCTGCTACCAGTGCTGGCTCGGCGGCGAGCATCCTGAGGAGCCTGGAGATGATCAGACACACGGGCTGAAGTATCATCCTGCTTAGGGGAAGCAATCCCTTGGGACTCTGCAATCTCGCTGTCTTGGATTAGTAAGGATACACCTGAAAACAAATGGCCATGCAATGTATGTTAAAAGATATGTGAGTACCAACAGGGCACCATAATACAGTCTGTGCTGCAGAGGGAACTTATCAGCACATTGGTGTAGAACCCTGATAATTTGACGATCAATGAGTATTTGCCTGTTAGGAGGCTGAGGGGAAAGGATGGACAATATTACATATAAAATGTTGGAATTGTTAGTGTATAAGCATGTAATTGTACACTTGTCAATGTCTATAAGGATGCAACAAGCATTTTTTTTTTCCATAGGGCACACAAAAAAGTACAGAAGACCTTGTCACATCCAACTTAAAACTTTCTTAAACAACAACAAACCTCCCAGTAAGATCTGAACATTAAAAGAGTCCGCTTCACACTGCAGAGCTTCCAGCAAAAGTCTAGTGAGTCTGGGCTTTAGTGACATGAATGTCAGTGTCTTCTTGGGTTCTTGATTGTCTTGTTCAGCAGAGTTTTTCTTTCTCCACGTTGCTGTCATGTCTAGAAAAAAATACAACAGACAAAGTAAAAAATTAACCTTTAACTCAAGGTACTAATCAATCTCAGTGAACAAATATCCTCAATTACAGCTGTAGGTACAAAGATAATTAATTATAAATTATAAACACTGAAATTATCCACTCTTCTTACAGGGCTTTTCAGAGATACAGAACCAATAATTAAAAAAAAAAAGCAATAGGAGATAAAAAAAATATGTTTAAGAATCGCAACTGATAAGAGGCAAACCAGTTGGCTATTTACAAATGTTGCCAAGGATTTGAACTCAAGACTATCAAGAACAAATCCAGCTAGTGGTCAGGGTGGGACTTGAACTCGGGGATTCCAGATTACAAGTCCAATGCTCTAACTACTCGGCCACACTGCCTTCACTGAAAAGGAGATAGCTCTGGATGACAGCAATGGAATATCAGTAACAGTGAACTCAGGAAGCAGCCAAAAGCTGCCAAATTCAAGGCAGACCTCTTTTATAACAATTTTTAACAAAATCGCAAAGACCAGAGCAGTCTGTGATGAAGTGTTTGCAAAATATTTCACACCTTTTATAGGGAGATCTTGAAAATGCAGTGGAAGACACAACATGGATAACAGAAGATGTATTGCTGCTCTACGAAGCTCAGTGGTGGAGATGTTACACCTGTGTGAACATGGTGAGAGAAAAAGTTATGCAAGACAAAAAATGTGATTACAGTCATAATGTAGTAAACCCTTACAGTTTTTAAACTCAACCTCTGAGTCAATATTTAATTATTTACTACGTACGGTACAATGATGAAGAACACTATATGAGCAAAAACATCTTTTGGAAAAATGCTGGTAAAGCATGACATACAGGATAGACTGGAAATCACACCTTGAATTGTACTGTACATGCACATGTACATAATCTCGGAAGTTAACATCTCATTATCATTTTGCAAACCAAAGAATTCCAAAACAAAACCTTAGCTGCGTGCACTAAAATGTCAGATTGAATTTCTTTTGTCTCCACTGAATTTCTGATTGGTTTGAACAGTCATCAAATTTTATAAAATCTTCACAAAGCAGCATGTATAATAATCCCCCATTTTGTAAACAACTTCCTTTTAACAAAATCTCATCTCAGTCTACATTTTAAGTAACAGAAATCCTATGTGAGAAACAAGTAAAAATTAGTTGTAAACTTTTCTTGGGTATTGTTTGCAACTCTTATGATTGGTCGAAATCTTACTCAAAAAGGCACCCTTTAAAATTGGTGTTTCATAAACTGCCTTTTTGCAGGTTTATCTATTATGCATTCTCTGTGTGAAAATAACACATTCTTATGTGAGGAAAGTGATCGCAACATAACAAAAGCAATTGTTTCCTTTGTTACCAGGATCATTAATGATTAATCTGGACTGTGTTTGCAGTGAGATGGGGGTTATACCAAAGGACAAAAATAATGCAACATGTACAGTAATTATGGAACCACAAGTTGACAAATGCACCAACCTAAATGATACACCAGTGACAAGGGAATTTTTTTTATTTTATAAAGGCACATCTTTTATTTCCTCGTTTCATTTAATTAGCTCTTATACTGCACCTCAGTTGAAATTCTTTCCTGGGTAGCACTGTCTCAAGAGCAGCGATAAGGTGTGGTAAAAGCACTTGTACCCCCTGAAGGTCAACTTGCAAGAGATCAGCTGAGTTAAGAAGTATACTGCATAGAACGTGACCTGTACATAACTGAAAGAGATTGAACAATATCAAATTACAGTATATTAATTTTATTTGAGTGGAAAATATTAATTTGACTAACAACAATCTGTAAATGGAAAGCCAACACCTTCCAAATTGTTTTAACATTTAACATTCTAATGCTCACTGTAATAATACATTAATTGTATTATAATGCTTGTTCTAACTCCTTTCCTTCATGTTCTTATCTTAGTCATAATGAACACTGTACATGAAGGGCTGTCGCTAAGATTTGAAGTTGCTGGGTACAATGTAAATTAATCAGACAGAACATGCAAGCAAGATGGCAGTGTAGCAAGGCTCCGCGAGACACAAAGTTTTTCTCGTTGACTCTAAAATAGTAATTTTTGCTGACGACTCCAAATAACAAGATGAATTTCGAAGAATACTGATAAGATCTCTCTTCAACAAGACGACTCAGCTCTCCAACTGGGGTCACACCTTAACAATGAGCCTTGGCTTACCAAAGTGCAAGACCCTAAACATCGCCAGCAAAAAATCACTGTCAAACAGATAATACCACATACATGTAGATGGGACCCTACAATAAACCACTGCTAGCGAAACCATTGACTTGGGAATAACCCTTACAGACAACCTTCAGTCGTCTCAACTCATAAATCAGATCTTCCTGAGAGCAAACCATACTCTTAACAAACCATCTTGCGAACTGCTGTTCGGAAAATGAGCTCACACTCCTCCCCCACACAGACGGCTGGCTGGAGGCATGAGTTTGCTATTGTCAATAATAACACAAATCAGATTCACAGGAAAAAATAATGGATTCTCATTTTTGGATATTTTATGGTATTTAAAGAATACCCACAAAAATCCCAAATTTGGAAGAGTGAGACAAGTCCCAATCAGGGAACTTGGTTCGGAAATTCCTTGGTTGGGACTTGTGTCACTTTGCCAAATTTGGGATTTTTATGGGTATTCTTTAAATACCCTAAAATATCCAAAAATGGGAATCTGTTAATTTTCCTGTGATTGTTGCCTGCTCAAATCAAGCAGGCAGCATAAATTTATTTTCCTCAAGCAGAATTTAAACAGTGGATGCAAAGGTGTTGTTTGTTGTGGCATGCGATTGTGTTTTAGAGTGTTTTAAGCTTAAAAACCTCTAGCCTGCGAAAACATCCGTTTCTCCTCGCTCTTTGCTGCTGGGGACGTTTCGCAGGGAGGAACGTCTGCGACTCAGTGACAGAAATTCGATACTGATGATGTAAAATATGTGCAGAATCCGGTCAGAAACCCTGATTGGTCGACGGAGTAGTTATATTGTTTTAGCTATTGTTTACGAATGACAGACAAAAGGCCACAAAGGTCAAATGTAAATGCGATGAATCTCTAACAAAATAGTCAATATTTGTGGAATATAGTCTTCTGTAGAACAAGCATTTGAGTTTTGCTGGAGCTCGTTTGCAGATGAACACAACACTTTACCAAAATTGATCAGGAGAAACCTGAAATTGAATAAATTTACATTTGGAACCCTGCGACTACCAGATTTATTAAGTAAACATTGATTTGCGTCATTAGTATGGAATTTCTGTCACTGAGTCGCAGACGTTCCTCTGCGCGGAACGTCCCCAGTGGCGAAGAGAGAGGAGAAATGGATGAAAGGAGAAACTTCTCTATAGAGCCCCCCTAGGGGGAAATCCCCAACCCTTGGCCCTTAACGACAGCCCTGTAACACTATGTACAAACATTCTTATGCAAATGTTCAAAACTCTTACTGCCAGATTTACATTCTTCAAAGCATAACCAAATTTAGGTTATGTGTACTGTAAGTACTTAATCACTTGAACATAACTTGGAACTCATTAGCTTTACTACAGGCTACGGTAAACACACAGCAACTCCATCCACATTAATAGCTCCTCTGCTGATAAAAAATTAATTCAGGATACAGTGTAGTACTCTTTGGGAGCTTCCTTACAACTAGCACCTACACATTAGACTGTTTACAGCCATTCATTTTACTCAGAGAAAACATGTCAAGAACCACTGACATGTAAAATTAACTCATTTCAGCCACTCATCTTTTTATCACTGATAGAATTTATTTTTATTACAGAAGTTTTTTCATAGGCTTGATTAAAAAGGACTTCACTCTCTTAAGTTAGCTGTCGCTTGTTTTGCACCTCAAAAGTTTAATACATTTTGTGTATACCAAAGCTCTACACTTCATGTCCAGGAAATCTCAAAAACAGAAAAATTACCAGTAACAAAAAGAAATACATAATGTAATACTGCTTACGTCTGAATACAGGAGTCCAATTGCCACCGCTAAATAAAATCTGGACAGATAGACTGGTCTAATCTCTTGATCAGACCGATGACTACAAAAGATGCGGCAAAGAGCACCATAAGCCTCAGCACATCCTGGCTCAAAATTACTGTCCATGAAGTAGCCCACAATGTCACGCCTAAAAACAACAAAGTCAGGTAGGCATGGTTACATGACTGTACAATTTCAGATTCAGGTCTAAAGAAGGGTACCCCGAAAAAACTGCACAACAATCAGATTTTTTTCTCAAAATCGTTTAGCATAGCATAAAAGAGTCTCACACAAGTGAAGTGTGCAACCCCACATTTTTGAGCCTTGCTCCAGAGTTTTGTTTGACTGTTCGCATGTACTTGAATATGCAAAAATGAGGACTGTTTTTCAGTCAATTATATCCCCCTAATACATGTACAGCCTGTGATTTTGTTATCTCTGCATCCTGCATTCCTGATGCATAAAAATCCCCAACAACTCAAAATAATTCGAACTACAATGAAGGTAAAAACCCTTAATTTTTTTACCTACATGTACAAAATTTAGATTGACTCAGATAAGAGCATCAACTAATAAGGGTGATAAAGACTGAAAATCACATTACACGTCTGCCTGGAAAACAATATTGGCTTTTGAAGTACATGTAAAGTAATGAAGAATTCAAAGCCTTACCCCACTCGGCCTGTCCCTGAAATTTCAAGAACAGTATTTCCAACAAATCCTTCATAGATCTTTCCAAGGGCCTTGAAGTTTGCTGGCATGTCCATCTTGGCAAATATAGCATCAAAGAGCCATGCTCCAAACAAATGAAGCACACTGTCTCCTGAAGGCCTTTCTGTGTCAGATGCTGTTGATCTAGGAAACAGCATCGACGTTGAGGATATGCTTGTTAGTTCTGTGTGATGTGGGTCTAGCTGGGGTATTCCAGTAGACGAGGCTCCACTGCTATTTCTGGATGGGACTGTTTGCGATCTTACAATCCCTGTCAGATCATTTAAACCTAGAGCCAAACCAATACTCACGGATTTCAGGTCACGCCTCTTGGCAGGTGGCGGGCTTGAACTTTTCGTTGGTGCCGGTATTGGTATGTGCTTCACTGGCTCATCCACTGTTGTCGTTATGCTCAGGAAGGCATTTACAAGGACTGCAATACCTTTCATTACTTGCAAAAAATTCTGTGGAAGCATCTTCAAACAAGGATGGGCCTCAGGTGAAATAACTTCTTCGCTTTCCAAAGCAAATTCTTTGAATCTAGGTGTAGCACTGATGACCTCCTTCTTGCAGAGGTCAACAGGATTTCCTATGATGTGGAGAATTCGGAACCAGCACTGTATCAGGCAATCGTTAGCTAATTTGGCTGGAAGTCGGACATCGCTCTTTTTGGTCGGTACCAGGGGCAAAGGGAAGCTAGGGCCATACATGAATTGTATCACTTTCTTGGTAAGAGAGAGAGATGTTCTGCTCCAGTAATCAATCATTGCACTGTGATGTCGCCATGACATGCAAAGTTCTTGTAATGTTTTCCACATTGAAGGTGCAGGGAAATGATAACAGCTGGCATAAAGCCATACTTCAAGCAGAACACTAATTAATTTTTCGCACAAGTGTTCTGCAAGTCCCCCAGATATGTTTGGCGGTGAAAGAAGCATGTCATTTATGATCATCAAAAACTTTAGCAATGCCTCCCATGTTAAAGGCGACATCTTTGCTTCTGCAGCAGTAGCTTGAATCACTTGTAGCACTCTGATACATAACGAGGCTTGTAAAGCTAAATTTCCTTCTGTTCTTTTCACAAAAAGGTTACGAAAGTGATGGAAAATTGCCTTAGCATATTTCTCCGGGGTCTTGAGCAGGGGTTCGGGAATTCCATTCTTAGGATTTGTCAAAACTGTGAGCCAGTCCAGATATATGTTGACACAACCCTTAACTATTTCGCCATCACTCTCAGTCATTTGAAGAGTTAACCCATAACACAGAACTTCCATAATCCAATCCACTTCTTTCTCTGAACGAAGAGACTCTTCTGTTCCCGAATTGACGAGTGTTTTGACAACTGTGTGAGCAACATCTTTTCCAACGGATGGTGGAAAATTCTGCAAAACGCTTCTGTTACTTTGGTCACGCTGCAAAGTATTACGAAGAGAAACCCATTCGGAGTACATGATAATTATAACTGCGAAAATGAAGGAAACACAAACCAGTTAGTATGACAAGCAACTTTAGGGACCACAAGTGTAGCGAAGCACACCAACGGAGATACAAAAAAAAATTGTTTGGAGATTTTCCATCGTAAACCTACCGGTTACGGGTGTATGCTTCAAACTACAAAAAGGAGAGCTGTTTAGACCACGAATATAATCTCCACTAACCCCTCTACAAACCCAATCTCATCGCCATTTTGTTTTTTGCAAGGGACATCCGCTGTTCAACATTACCCTAGTCACGTCACGGAGCTGTAAAAGCGTTCAAAAAGGTACTTTACCATGGGGAAGATTGTAATAAAGGGCCAAAAAATTACCCTCCAATACTCGAGCCGGCGTTTTTATTGGTCAATAGGTGACCTTACATGACGTACTTGCTGGGTTGTTTCTTGGTCGATCGCTTGTCAGTTGTCAACCGTCGCGTTGTAGGTGCTGTTGTACCATGCCAAAACGTTCTCCCGCAAAGAGAGATTTTAGAGATGACGGGGAGAGAAAAATAAAAAAGAGCAAAGAAGGTGCTTCTTCATCAACCAGCAAAGTGGATGAAGATTTGGTAAGATCTTTCTGTTTGTTTTCTGTTATGGCACCCCTTTTCACCTTTTCACGTATCAGGGGTAAGCCCATATGATTTCTAGTTCAACTTTTTAATACTTCCTTAGATTTTCTGGAATGAAAAAAGCGTTTAATTCACAAGGAAGCTAAAATATTTATTATACTACTGAGTTGAGCATCGTTAAAAAGGGAACATGTTCTTTTTTCCATGATCGAGGGCAAGCTACTACGACATATGACATGAAGAGCTTTGTTTTTGTACTAGCAAGATTTGTAGTGATATTTGGCATAAATACCACGAGTGATATTTCGAAATTGTTATACGTAATTTTAAATTTGAGACAATTTTGAAATATCACGAGTGGTATTTATGCCAAATATCACGTACAAATCATGCTGTTATTTGTTTATACTACTACCGGCAAAAGGTTTGTAATTTTCACATGTAGGTATTTCAAATTAAGCTGAAATACCACTGCTCTAAGCCAATTAAATTGCAGTAATTTTTCATGTAGTAGTGTAAGGCGTCTAATCTGTCGATTTCCAGGGTTTACCTCAGTGTAAGAACCTGTGAACTTTTTCTTTATTTCGCACCTTTTGTTTTTCTGCATTCTATTGCGTTGACTTCTTTGTTTCCTCCGTTTTACATCACTTGTGCGTTTAACAGGTTCTTACACCGAGGATGAGCCGATTTCCATTTATGGAAATCAAAAAGCAACCTTGGACTTTAGACCATAACAAATAAATATATGGCAGCACTCCTTCATACTTTATCTATCAATAGTTGGCACTGCAGCTGCCCCCGCTCTGTATGTATCGTGGTCGGTCAATAGTCTTCTTGTTTGTGTAGCTCTTTAAAAAACATAGATTCATAATTGGATGTTTTCACACATATTGCATACATAGATAAGAACACAAAACAAAAAGTTTCATGCAGTGATTCAGTTTGATTTTAAGCCAGCTTAGATCAAACCATTCTCAGTTTCGAGAATACTTTATTCTAAAATATAAGCAATTCTTCACTATTTCTCTTTTACTTTTAATTTACAATGTTTGATCACATTGCTCTTGGGTGTTCTAGTCATTTAACTTTTAAGACAATACGTTAATGAGAATTCGATGAAGAGAATTGTTTCATTATGATGGAAAGATATCTGTTGAAGAGCAGTATTCAACATTTTGCATTCCGCAAGAGATACTGAAAGCAAATTTTATGCAACAATATTAGAAGGGGGCAGACAGACAAGGTGTGTTAGGGGATGCAAAAATAACAAATACATGTATTTATCATGGGTTATGTAACCTTCTCTTTGGGGTGTTACATGGTATGCTGTTCTGTTGCTTCATTAGCGGTAGGCTATATATATTTGAGTTGTTCTCATTTATATTCATTCGCGTCTTACGAACGTCCCTACGCCCTCAAAATTATGTCTGATGTTGAAGACGTTACTCCAGCGAACACAGATTTTCCTAGCAGCGACGTTTTGCTGCCTTCGCTTCCTAAACAACCTTTTTCTCAATCTCTCGAAGCTTCAGTACCAATCCAGTCTTCAGAATCCAGTGATATAGCGTCCGCGTTCTCTCTATTTAAGGATTATTTCGACAAGAAGTTGGGCGCCTTGAAGCGCGATATTCAAGACGAGTCGTGCAGTAATACCGATTCTGTGGCCAAAAAGCTTAAAGAAGAATGAAAGATCACGTTTAGATTCGAAGGTAATAAGAAACAGTTTCAATTCGACTCCGACCTTGCAGAGAAGGTGAAGTCGGCGTCAGTTGCTCTCGGGAAGAGAAAATTAAACCTTGTTAAAACTCACCTGGAAGTACTAGACTCTGACATCAAGAAGCGCAACAGACTGATCAGACTGGCAGACAAGTCCGCCGCCGGTTGGGATTTGGTGAACGAGTATTTATCAGACGAGCTGGCTAGCGGGTCAGAGGACGAAAAGCGTATCCGCCGTGCCGAGCAGAGGGCCCTTCGTAAACGCAACCAACGCCAACAGAAAGCGAAGCCATCCAAGCAAGGTTATTCACAACTCCAATCATCTACCGCAACCACCGCGTTTGCTGGCCAACATTCATCATCCTCCAGACCTATTTCTCGTACTTTTGGCGCTTTCAGCAAACCAAGACCAAGTGATATTTGTTTCGCCTGCGGCCAGCAAGGTCATTGGAGATCTCAGTGTCAAGTTAATTCTCAAGCCAGATCTTTAAGCTCGGGGCCGTCCTTTCCTAGTTCTTCTGGTCTTTCGGGCATTGGAGGTAAATAGGACCACAGAATTAAAAACTTGTTCTCCAAGGTTAGATATTAGCTTTACTCAATTTATTAGACATGTATCCTTCTTATTTGGAGTATTTCAGGGAAAGGGACTCTAGTTCATTAGTCGATTTCGATTATGATCGCAATCTATTTGAATTTGAACAGAATTCCGCATTGCCAGTACTTAAGGGTAGACTTAGGTCCTGTTTAAGTTATTGGCACACTATTGGTGCCAATAGTTTTGTTATCGATACTATTAAATTCGGTTATCGGATCCCATTCATTAGCACACCTTGTCAGGCGCGTTTTTCTAACAATCAGTCAGCTCTTAATAATGCGTCTTTCGTGGAGTCGGCTATCGCTGAATTAGTCCACACTCACGCCGTCGTTGAGGTGCCCTTTATTCCACATGTCGTTAATCCGCTCTCTGTCTCGATGCAGTCTTCAGGCAAGAAGAGGCTTATTCAGGACTTACGTCATGTCAATCATTTCGTTTGGAAACAGAAGTTTAGGTGTGAAGATTGGAGAGTTTTATTATCATATGTTAATAACGGCGATTACCTTTTCAGTTTCGATCTCAAGTCTGGATATCACCATATCGATATTTTTCCGGATCACCAAACTTTTCTGGGTTTCTCCTGGGTTTTTTCTGGTACCGTTCGGTATTTTTGTTTTGCATCACTTCCGTTCGGTCTAAGCTCAGCCCCATACGTCTTTACCGAGTGTCTCAGACCACTCGTTAAGTTTTGGAGGTCTAACGGGATTAAAATTGTTGTGTTCCTCGACGATGGGTGCCGAAAAGGGGATTCACTGCCTATGGCCAAGGAAAATTCATTGTTTGTGCAATCATCCTTAAGCAGTGCGGGGTTTGTTGCCAACTCCGCCAAATCGCTATGGAACCCCACTCAGGTGCTTCTTTGGTTGGGTTTAAACTGGGACTTAGTTATCGGTACCATTTCTATTACCGATAGACGTATTTGCAAATTTATCGCTCTGATTGACAAATTTCTTTTATCCGCACTTTATGTTACGGCTCGGGATTGTGCCGTTATCGCAGGTCATGTTATGTCCATGTCGCCAGTTTTGGGTAACCTGACTCGTCTCAAAACCCGTTTCCTTTAGAAGGTCATAGAATCCCGCCGTAGTTGGGATTCCCGTTTTAATATCGGGCTTCATAATGATTGCCTCTCTGAAACATTTTTCTGGAAAAACAATATCGTTAGTCTTAATACGAGACCTATTTTGCCTTATAATACTCCCCTTTTGTTTAGCTATTCGGACGCTAGCAACGTCGCCTGCGAGGCTTTTGTTGTGGGCACTAATGAGGTGTCCCATCGTATGTGGACTGCTTGAAGCAGCTAAGAGCTCTACCTGGAGAGAACTTAAGGCTATACAATTTGCCTTAAGTGCGTTCAAAGCCTCGGTTCGGGGTAAGTGTGTAAAGTGGTATTCTGACAGCCAAGGGGCCGTTCGTGTTGTGGAGATAGGGAGTCCTAGTGCAGAATTGCATTCTATTGCGCTTGATATTTTCTATTTTTGTCGAACTTACAATATTACACTTATTCCCCAGTGGGTTCCCAGGGAACTTAATGCTTGTGCTGATGCGATTAGCCACATTGTAGACTTCGATGACTGGTATACAACCCCCGAGTTCTTCGCACACTTGGACCGCCGAATGCTGCCAACGCCCATCTTCCCAGATTCAATTCTAGGTTTCGCGTACCCGGCACTGAAGCTGTTGACGCTGTAATTTTTTACATTTCCGAGTTTTCATTCTGTTTGTTGTATTATTTCCATCCATTCTGTTGATGAAGGCATAATAAAGAGGGTCGCACACGGCTCGTGTTGACACACCCCAATTGAGGTTGCTTGTTACATGATAAATGTTTTATATTCGTTTGAGCGGGGTAGCGAATTAGAATATAATTGTGGTCATATAAATGTCACTTAAGATCTGAACAAGTTGAGTAATTCATAAGTTTTTTGGCAAGTCTTTCTTACATGTAGCTGAACCATACATTTATAACAAATATGGAAGCCTTGGAGGTTTAGCTCTGTGGATTTGACCTTAAAGTGGAAATCAAAGTTCTATTGTAAGATGATACAAAAAATTTTATTTCCTCAAATAAAAGCCATCCCTCTATTAACCACCTCCCTCAAATAAGAAATATTTTCTAGTAATAGTTGACAATACAGCTCCACCCCCTCTGTATATTGTCGGTCAATAGTATTCTTGGTCATTGTGTAGCTCTTTGAAATATACCAATTCATGATCAAAGATTTTCACACATATTCTAGACAGAAGGTGAGAGTAAAAACAGGAAACGAAAGGTTCCATGCACTGTTTCAGTTTGATTTACACAGCTATGATCTAAAAGCATTCTCTGTTTTGAGAATAGTTTCTTTTAAACCATTACAAAAGATTTAATTATTAGAAGTTAAAGTTTTACAAACAGTTCATTTTATTTTCCTGAAATTAAGCCTTAGAAATGAAAAGGTTTGATCAATAATTGCTCACAGATGTCCTTCAAGGGATTAAGTATTAGAAATGGCTAGAACATGCCAAAGAGATAGAGAAAGAGATCAAAGATCTCTGAACTTGTGTCTGGCAAACTATCCAAGTGTTTATATACACAGTCATACACACCTTATAACCTCATCTCCGCTTAACAATGTAACATTTCCCAAGCATTCGTTACATAGAGGTGTTCGATGAACCCTCCACTTAACTAACACATTTCCCCAGTCCCTTTGCATGTTAAATCGAAGTTCCACAATGTACTTAAATACTTCGATCACTAAAACTCCTTTTAAAGTATATCATACAGCAGAGAAGTTGATAACAGATTTGTTGTTGTTCTTGTTGCAGGAAGACGGAAAGTGATTAATGAAAGAAGATAGAAAAATAAATATCAATCGTTTTTTTTAAAAAAATGGTGTATTCATTTGTAATAATAAAAAAAACTTTTGAACGTCGTTTCTCCTCAGACAACAACTACTCGCACGTCCAAGCTCCTTACAGAGGCGTCTTCTCTATTTTCTAATCAACCATTTTTCGACTAGATTCTTTTTTTTAAGAGCAGGGGATTTTTAGATAAAACTTCATTGACAATCATTATCATTAACCTCTCTCATAATATTGGGAAAGGCTTTTCGTCGTGCGTGGTTTGTAGAATCTCGTTTTTGACTCTCTTTTACTATTCATTGTAGTTATTATTCTTTAAAAGTTCATATTTCAGTTTAGTATATACTATTTAACAGTGGATAGTTTTTTTCGCGCGCTCTGATTGGCTACTCAATCAGTGACTATCCTGCACTATTCACTGATTCACCTCCAGTTCCTCCAAGCGAGCGACGCCAAACTCGCGTAAGTTTCGAGCAAAATGCCTTCCCAGTTTGCTGCCGTAAACAAGCATAGAAATTTCACAACTAATCAAGCAAGCTGTTTCCGAAATATACGAAGAAGGTGACGAAGTTCGGATTGGAAGTTTTAACAGGTAGAGCTTTGTCTTTTTGACACGAATTTATGGATAAAACCGGTGAAAAAGTTTTTTGTTTACAAATGCAAATTAAGTTTAAGTCTTGCGTTACTTTATTTAGTTGAGTTGTTTTTTATACAATGATTTTAAATACAACAAGAATTCACAACTCCTTTTGAAGAAATTTGCCCGCAAGAGCTAAACAAATGCCTTCAAAAGTTTTAATTGTCGGCCAGAAAAAGCGACGGCCGCGGCCGCCCGGTCATTACGCGCCAAAATTGTAATCGTTGGCAACAGTATTTGAGTTAAAAATCATCATTTTTGTGCTCAATTATCTCACTGTTTTAGTATATACTAAAACAATTATTAACCTCAGTGTCGGTGGCTAGTCGTGGATATTTACCTCAATGCTTCGCAGTTCTGACCTCCACTTCGGTGAATAATTGTTATTTATTTGTTGCTTTGGTGCATGTATGTTCTTTTTATCCCCATATAACGGTGACGTGGGATCCTATTCACCACCGGTGTTTAGTTTTCTGTAAGCTAAAAATAAATTTAAGTAAAACCTTCATACACCAGGAAGGATGGCTTCAGAGAAGAATAAGGCCCGAGGATGATAATTGGTGGTAGAAATGAATAGTCTGTTGAACGTTGTGCTTCCTCTGCGACAACAACTACTCAAACATTAGAGCTCGTTACAAAGCTTTCTCCTCTATTTTTATAAAAACCATTTTTCAATCACTATTGATTTTATTCACATTGAAATGTTGCGAGTTCTTAAGCTCAGTAAACCTTGTAACACACATTTCCTAAACTCCTTTTTGTTACTGGAAATGCTTTTCATTGCGCGTGTTGACTAGAATCGCGTTATTGACCCTCTTTTATCATTCATTGTTATTCTTTATTATTAGTTAATTTTTTGTTATAACTTAAGAATCATCTTGTACATTCGTGACCTTGTACTCAAAACCGTGACGTAAAAAGGTTCACACTCAGCCTCTCTCCAACATCAATAGCACAGCATAAAAGGAAATTTAAATCTTCGTTAAGTTTTACGACTAGTGATATTGTATACCTCATGACCCAACCTAGAGAGTACAGTGGGGGATCGAGGGGAGGGGCCTGGGCCATTATTTTTAGACCAGAATGAGGCTCGAAGAGCAGAAAATGTTGTTTTAGACTGGGTCCGCCACAGCAGTAACATCGAAAAGAATGTGGCAGTTTGAAAGTATCAGAAAAGTTCACGAATTTTATAGACGGTGTTCTCTTGAAAGGAAATTTCTTTCCTCGCAATGACCGAGTATTTTAAAGTCGATGATTACGAAAACTAACGTTTTGGAAACCCATAACCACCGGATTGTAGCTTCCGGTAAGATTTAACTTAAAGACTAACGATTGCATGGATAAGAAAAGATTAAAAAAACCTTCATGACAACAAAATGGGTCGCTTCGGACGATCACACGAAGATGATAACACGAAAAAAAGACCAGTCACTTGAATGCAGTTTTTCTAGTCAAACTGTTTAAACGAGTAAAACGTCTGAGCTCCTTACAAAGACATTTCTCCATTTTTAAAAAAACTGAATTTCGAGTAGCTTTTCTCTTTTTTTACGTTTAATGGATTCTTAGCAAATCTTAAGTTTTGAATCAAAATAACCCATTTAAATTTGTTACTAGTAACGGGAAAGGCTTTTCCATGGACTTGGTTAGGAGAACATCGTTTATGATCCTCGTTTACCATTCGTTGAATTATTCTGTGTAAGGCAATCCATGTTTCAATTTATTTGTTGTTACAAGGTCAACTATTCTCGAACTTGCTTTGGTGCGTGTAATTTTTTAGCCGTATATAACGGTGACGTGGGAGTGTAGACATTCTTTCCAGAATAAGAAACTACAAAAAGACATCTAGCGATGAAAAGCAAAACGGACGATTTCGATGCCTAATCACCACCTGTGTTTTTCTTTCTGTATGCTTGAAATAAATTTAAATAAAACCTTCATACACCAAGAAAGATGACTTCAGAAAAGAAAAAGGCCCGAAGATGATTATTGGTGATAGAAAACAATAGTCTCTTGACCGTGCTTCCTCTAACAACAACGAGTCAAACGTTTGAGCTCCTTTTTAAGGTATCTTCTAGATTTTCCTAAAAACCAAATTTCGACCAGACAGGACCTTATTAACATTCAAATGTAACAAATTCTTAGGCTAAACCGTAAAAGACCAACTTTCTACACTCCTTTTTTATTAATGGAAAGCTTTTCGGTAAGTAGAGTTTCCTTTTTGACCCTCCTTTACCATTCATCATATTATTCTTAAGCTTTTACCATTCATTGTTTTATTTTTTAGAACTTTATTTTTTAGCTTATTTGTTGCTATAACGTAAGAGTTATCTTGTACATGCGTGACCTTGGTATCCGCTCAAAACTGTGGTAAAAGGGTGCACACTCTTTCCAACATCAATAGCGCAGCATAAAGGGAAATCAAAGTGTCTCCGTTAAGTTGTGGACAAGCAATATTGTACGCCGCTTTGACTAAAGCTGAACCCAACCTAGAGAATACTAGCGACGAATTATAGCATGTCGCAGTTTAAAAGTATCAAAAAATGATGCCTTTAAAAATGGTGTTCTCTTAAAAGCAATTTTTTTTTCGACATGACCAAGTATTTTGAAGTCAATGATTATAAGAAAACTAACATTTTGGGAAGTAACCTATTCACCAACAGAGTTTAGCTTTCTGTAATCTTTAACAGAAAGACTGTTGATTGCATGGATGAGAAAAAAAATTAAAAACTTTAATACACCAAGACGGTTTGCTTCAATTCGGAGAAGAATACGACCGGTTCAAGATGATAACTAGTGGTAAACATTTAGAACATGCAGTCAGTTAAATGCTCTTTTTCTAGTCAAACTGTTTCAACGAGTCAAACGTCTGAGATCCTTACAAAGACGTCTTCTAAATTTTCTTAAAAACCGTGTTTCGAGTAGCTTTTCTCTTTTTTATACTTTTGCTGAATTCTTAACGAAATCTTTGAAAATAACCCATTTAATTTGTTACTAATAACGGGAAAGGCTTTTCAACGGACGTGGTTAGTAGAACATCGTTTGTGATCCTCTTTCACCATTCATTGAATTATTCTGTGTAAGGCAATCCATGTTTCAGTTTATTTGTGGTTACAAGGCCAACTATTTTTTAAATCTTGAACTTGCTTTGATGCGTGTATTTTTTATCAGTACATAACGGTGACGTAGGAGTGTCGACATTCTTTC